CCCTAGTCTATTGTATCTATTCATATGTATTCAAATTCTATTGTATCTATTCAGATGTATCGATTCAAATTCTACAGAATTAAATTAAACAGAATTTTCAAACCAGTCCCTCACTCAAGCTAGAGTTATTTCAAGTGCTTAGCAGCTGCATCTGGTCATTGACAACCACAGAGGAGCAGGCTTAATGGAACATTCCTAGCACTGTGGAATGTTCTGTTGGACTAGAGACTTCAGAAGAGCCTGTGATACTGAAATCACCTCACCAGCTCATCGTACGGACACTTGTTAGGTGTGTTCTGTTCCACAGTTACAGATTACTTACTACACAAATTTGCTGTCACTGGTCAGAAGGGGACCTGTTAATTTCAACAAATTTGCATTGAACCCTTTCCACGTGGGAAGAGGGGAACAAGAGACAGACAGCTTCAAGAAGCTCGGAGGTGGAGAGACAGTATGGTGACCTAAGGAGAAGGGTGTTGCACTCTTAAACCAAAGGCTGCTGGTGGTAGCCGTCGAGTCGAGTGTCACTCATAGTGACCCTGTGAACAGTCGACCTGAACCCAGCGCTATCCTGTGCCATCCTCATCGTCTCTGACACACTAGGGTTCATTACTGAAATCACCATGTTAATTCACCTCGTTGGAGGCCTTCCTCTTCTTCATTGACCCTCCATTTTTCCATGCATGATGTCCTTTCCAAGGAATAGACTCTCCGAGCAACATGAACAAAGTATGTGAGATAAAGCTTTATCATCTTTGCCTCCAAGGAGCACTCTGGTTGCACCTTCTCCAAGACATATCTGTTTGCTCTTTCGGCAGTGGACGGGATATTCAGTACTCTTTCTCCAACACCACAGCTCAAAGGGATCAATTCTTCTTCTGCCATCTTTATTCACTGCCCAGCTCTTCGATGCACAGCAAGTGACTGAAATTTCCCCATACAGGAGGGGAGCATTCCGCCACTGAATTACCACTGCCAGGTTCTTAATTAGAGAGGAAGCAAAATTTCATGGCAACTTTAGTAATTACTGCTACTGGGTTTTCTGGTTTTAGAACACTATTAGGAACGTTTAGTGCCAACAACACCTTTGCCTTTCAAGATAAATCTCAAGGAATTTTGTCTTGTTTTTAATCATTACTAAAGATAGTTACTACATTTTCAAACTCACCATTCTGTAAGTTCTGCAACTGGTCTCTTGTTTCTAAAAATTCTTCATCAAACTGAAAAAACAAACAAAGTCAAAACAAACCACAAATTAAAAAACCTCAAAGAAAACAAAACAAAGTAACCCTATATCCTCCATAAAGAGAAGGAAATTATCATTATAGGTTCAAGTTTAGAACTTAAGGAAACAAAAACATACAGAGATAGAGCACATTTTAACTTCATTTCTAAACATCACTGCTCACTGAAAGGAACCAGGGCTTTTAAGAAAAAAGGCAGGGACTTTCTTGTTAT